CCTCCCCAGCCACCTCAGCTCCCTTTTCCCCGCCCGCCTTCACAACCGCTCGACCCACAATCACAAGTGAGGAAACCCGGGGAGGGTAACACCTGGTCGCTGCTGAAGGCAAGGGCAACAGCGTCTGTCACCCACTGTGCCCACTTCAGAGGTCCTCAGCAGCGGTGCAGGCGAGTGGGTTTTGAATGGCCTGTCACGCCCCCACTTAAAAAGTTGAGCCTGAGGGCTCTTACTGCAAGCTGAGAGGAAAGAAAAATAAACTCGAATCACCCGGCACGGGTCGCCAGGGACAAGAGGAAGGTCTCAGGAAACTCTGCAGAGACACGGGCCGCAAAGACAAATCAGCAGAGCATCGATGTATGGGGACCATACACCTCAGACTATGCAAGCTTGTGAAGCAACTGCAGAAGATCGACAGTCTTAAGACAGAAACACAACAAGCGGCAGTTGCAGGAATGAGAAGGATTCATCCACAACAAGCCACCGGCTGAAGAGAAGGATCGAGGTGTAAACACTTCAAGGGTTTAGGGTTTAAAGGGCTCAATGGGAGGACGATGAATGTGACCACCCTCACTGCCACCAGTACCCGGCATCCACACATATAACAGGGGAAGGGGTTAGCATATTCATATTCAAGTATAGTTCAGGCGGCCTACCTTCAGGCCTGAAGAGGCACTCCCCATTGCACTCCCCGTTTGAACACTGTGATGGGACTTTGCAACTGTGAAGGGGGAAGATGCTAATAACTACACGATCACTTGTGGCGGCCTAGTTCTAGGCTGAAGAGGCACATCCCCCATAAGATCCAAATGAGCCCAGCAAAAGTTTTTCAAGGGAAGGGCTGTAGAGTTCTGGAATGCACCAAGACTAAGGGGAAAAAGGACAAACAGGTCAAGAACAAGGGCAAGGGCTTGGCATTTCCAGGAAAGGGGCTAGGTCGGTACTGAGGAGAGATTTGTACTAAGGGAAGGGTATCACTCGCAGCCCCAAGGGAAAACGTAGCTCTGAGGCAGGAAGACTAATGACCATAGCCCTGACCCATGGTACTACAGTGCTGTTTCCAAGGGACACTGGACTCAGTTTCCAGCACGTGCCGCTCCCCACCAATAACCATGGCTGATAGCTTCCGGCGATCAATGTGAGCCTAGTTACTGGCCTCTACAACACCCTGGGCTTAAAAAAAAGAAAAAAAAAGATGGAGCAGCCCACCAGCCAAGTCCTCAATCCCGGCGGTTCTCTTACCACCGCCACGATAGTGGGCTTGCAAAAGGGCTTTTCCTGAAAATAATAAAATAAATAAATAATAGAAATAAACATAGTGAGTAGGAACACATCCAGACCGGTGGTCTGAACCGACTCCTTTTTTCTTGCAAAAGAAAAAGAAAAAAAAAACCATTGTGGTCACCCTGGCTCAATTCCAACTGAAGCATACGGTGTTTTTAGTCTCAAATATAATCCTCCGCCAAAGGAAGGGAATACCCATGGGAGGAAGAGCAAGTCCCTCATTGGCCTGCGTCATGTGCATGTACTCCGAGTTTAACTTTATTTCTTCACTTGGAGTGGACGCTAAGTTTATTTCAGGTGAGCGATACATTGACGATTTGCTACTTTTCTCATTTTTTGAGAAAAATGATACGGGTGGGTACGAAAAAGCCAACAATCGCCTGGATAAAGCACCCCCCTTTGAGATGGCAAGAGATATGGCGACAGCCACTTTTCGGCAACCCCGATATATGTGACGAAACAGGCTCGCCACTCTCCCTGGCAGCCAACTCCCATTGGTTGGCATGGGTAAGGAACGGTCTACTCAGCGTCGGGGACCTCTGGGATGCCCAGAACGGTGCATGGAAGTCAGTACAGCAGCTGCAGCCAAACCTGAGATACATCAGAAATCGACAGGACAAGCTGGACCTCATTCATAGGGCAGTCCCGTCTTCATGGCTTGCCACCCTGCGGGAGGGCCCTATGGTCTGCAGCCTGGATTGGGTGATAAAGACCACCCGGAACCCTATCCCCATGTCCATCTTCAGGGTGGTCCGCTGCACAGGTCAAGAAGCACACCTCCACGCATATGAACCGGATGTCCCAGGGGCACGATGGGCCTCGTTGAAAAGGGCCCCCGAGCTAGACGGAGTGGGTCCTCTGGGAGAGCTGACTAGGATACGAGTGGTGGGGGACGATGACAATGGCTACTTTGCCTATGAAATGTCTACCCCGGTGGAAGCACTAGCGTTTGACCCGGACGAGTGGGCATGGAAAGGCCGGAAACCTACCCCGGTCTGGCAATATTCCGTACGCGGGGGTTACAAACAGGTGCACAAGTCACATGCCTCCACTCCGGTAGTCCAGAGTCGATGGAGTCGGGACTCACCACTGCAAGAAGGGGAACTGCATCACATCCCCTGGACTACATATGCTCATATAATGCCAACCACATATAGGGCGCTGCAGTGGCAGATTATACACCGCTGCCTCCCAACACCGGACTGGATAACCTCACGTACTAACCTTGAACAGACAGGAGTCATATCACCTATATGCTCCCACTGTGGTGATGGCGCACAACGCAGACGAGCAGACTTGGAGCACTGCCTGCTGGCGTGTCCAATGGCAGTCCAGGTTTGGCAATGGTGGGATGCGTTGTGGTGCGAGCTCACAGGTGTATCGTTCCCCTGGAACATCGCCCTCATCTCACTGGGCAAAAAAAACAGCTTCCCCTCCACCTGGACACCCTTCCAGCAAAATCTCTTTAAATACATGAGACTCGCCATACTCATGGTTATTTGGAGGATGAGGTGCTCGGTGGAGCATCGAGAAGAGGCATTCGGTATTCACCAGGCAAAGACAGAGCTTCTGGAGGTGACAAGGTCACACACGTTGAAAGCCAGCAAAACCTTAAAAGAAAAGGTGGATGGAACCCCCGATCATGGCAATAGATAACAATTGATAGCGGCCTTTGCAGTAAAATGGACCGATCCCAATGACAAAATGGCAGAAGTGCAGCCTGATGGAAGGCTGACATGGAAAAACTGGGTGACACAAGACCACTCATGGACATACAGACCGGCCGCGTCCTTCTTGACGCCACTACCAGACCACCACAACAACACGACAATTGAAGTGTGCCCAGCTTTGGGAGAGCAGGCTAGGACCGTAGAGGTTGAGCTCTGCTCCATCCACTCTCCCAGTTCACAGTCCCCTCCTCTACCATCCCGCCCCCCCCTCTCCCCCAGACGTCCCCCCCATAACTCCACCGCCTCCACCCCCGACCCAGACCACCGCCCCCACCCCCATCTACAACACCCCTCCACCCATCCACCTCTCCGTTGTGCTCTAAATGATATCTCAGAGGGATTCGGAAGATGTACACCACAGATAAGGCAACAATGTGTCTCTGGGTACAGGGGCCGAGAGAACTACATTGCAGCCTGACGTGCTACAAGGGACAAGGGAAGAGAAAGCTGCTACTGCGGAACACAGTTGGAAAAGGGACAACTGAAGACAGGGCTGCAGTGCACTCTTTTGATCCTCATCTATAACCACTCTGGGGTGCATCGGTCGGTTCGCTCAGTGGAATCCACATGAAATCCACACTTCTTAGTATCTTGGAGGGATGCAGAAGGCGTACGGCTCACATAAGGCGACAATGTGCCCTCAGGTACAGGGGCTGGGATTAGCACATAGTATCCTGAGGAGCCACAAGGGACAGGGAAACAGCTAGCTGCTTCTGCGCAAAACAGGTATGATGGAACAACGAACGACTATGGCCGACGGTGACTTAGCTGGTGGTCCTTGTGCAGGGTGACGAACCCATCTTTTAGGGCTGCTCCCTTCGACTCGAACCACGCATAGGTCACGTACTGGGCCTGCGAGGGTAGAGGGTTTAAAGGGTTTAACACGGACTTCATACTTACTCAAGAACCACGAATAGATCATGCTCTGGATCTTCAGAGGGTACAGGGTTTATAGGGTTTGAAATGGGCACGCACAGCTATACTCAACTAAGGGGCGTGGCTGAGATTCGGCTATGGCCTTCCATTACTCGCTCAAGGATCAGGGAAGGGTCTTCTGTTGGTTCGGCAGGATCATTGGATCAAAGTGTCAAATGGATAAACACACATATATGGGGGGCTGCTGAGATAGGGCTGGGTTATTAGACAAGGGGTGCTCCTAAGAAGGGATGGGAGTTAGTAGCAGCTCTATGGGATGTGGAGCCCCGAGCAGACTTAGAATTGGCCGCAGCCCTGAGGAACAACAATCAGTACTTTTCTGTGTTGCATGATGTATCAACGGGACGCTGGACCCGGTTTCCAGCAGGTGCTGCTCCCCACCAATAGATGGAGCCTCCCCGACGGTGCTAGACGTGCCTG